CACTCGATGGCATCTCAATAGCGTGTCAGTGGTATGACAGTGGCTTGGCGTGAACATAAAATAGCATAATTGAGCCCCTGCACGATCCTTTAGTGGTAGTAAATCGAGGTGACTCGAGCAACAATTGTACGAAACGAGAAAACACTGAAGTCTGAAACGATAATAAAGGTTTTCTATTACCTGTTTTTTTTTTTTTATATTTTACTGTTATTTTTTAAATTTCTTACTTGATCTTGATAACTTATGATAAATGAAACTTAGCATTAGTTTCTTATCATTTGTAGTACTATAGCCATAGTGCTGGACGCTACAACTAACTTCAGAAAGCAATAAAAAAATATAGTTTGACAATATAAAAAACTAACCGACATTCATTTATAGTATAGTCAATTTTGTTTGATCAGCTTTAATCTAAAGAGAAAGTTATAAGAGAGTTATGATTGAAATCATCTATTTCAACATTGATGCTTTAAAATTAAAGTGGTATAAACGCGCTATATAAGCTTGTTTTGATTTTAAGGGCATAGTCAGATTTGGTATTAACATAGGATTAAACCCGGGAAAGTAAATTATATCTCACATAAAACTAATAAGACCACCACCATAAAACGAAATATCTCACACACTTGTAAAAATAGTTGTCGTGTTTTTAACACCTTTTTATTAGCTTGGTATGTGTGTAACGTTATCTCGCACATTTGTAAAAACAGTTGTCGTGTTTTTAACGCGTTTTTATTAGCTTGGTATGTGTGTAACGTAATCTTCAGTATCGTGCTTTGTTGTGCGACGTACATCATTTTAATTAAATCTTAAAATGATGTACGTCAACCGTACATAATGTGCTTAGGGCCACTATAGCTGAACGTACCTTCACTAAGTAACAAAATAATGAACATCGATTGTGGCTCTGCTGCGGAGCATATTTCCTAGCAGAGCCAATTAAAACCAGTACCGTCTTTACAATAAGGGCACACGGGGCCCGTGCCCAGGGCCCCCATTATCAGGAGTGCAAAAAAGCGAATACATAGAGTGATATATTCGCTTATACTATACATTTTTTTCTATTTTAAATCGATATAATCCGACAAAATTATAATTATAAGTATATCGAGGTTTGATTAGCGACTTTGTGGCAACCCCGGAACAAAAACGAGCCCATTGACTTGTTATTGCTCAGGGCTGCCACAATGTCATGACATTGCGCAAAGACACAGGAAATGTGGCATTGCCAATCTTTCCAAATAGGAAATGGTTCTCTGTTTCGCCACCGTCTAAACTTATTTCTTTTATTGCAAAATTGCCTTACTGAAAGCCTTTATTTTTTCAATCGTTCTTTGTATTATTTGTGTTCTTTTTTTTTTTCACTTTTTTTAAGTTGGTGCATGTATGTTCCGTTCTAGGAACGTCTGAGAAGTGGGGATCTAGTAATAAAATATGTAAAACAGAAAATAAATTTAAATATTCAGAATATTATAAATATTTAAATTAATGATAAATATATGAATAAAAATAGATAAATAATTTTAAACTAAAATTAAGAGAAAGTCAAATTAGTTAACCACAACGAGTATTGTCAACGAAAACACTGGATCACACCACTGATACTGGGATGGCGTTTACAATTTTTTGGTAACCACGCCACTGCCGACTACCTTATATGTAGGAATAACGTGTAAGAAAATAATTCATTTTGTTTTAATTTTTAATGATAATGCTGAAATTGGCCTAGTTCACAAGGAATTTGTAAACAGCCTTTTTTTCATCCTGACCAAAACCATTTTACCAATTATAACTACAAAGGGTTCTACGAGTACTACGCTCTCCTCTACAATAATGAGTAACAATAGTTAACAATTTTGATATCCTCTAGTAAAGAAAGTGATATATTTTGACAGACTAATATATAACAGAAGATTTCGCACAACAGATATCTCGAAAGAGATCACTGAACAGAACAGTGATCTCTTTCGAGATTATAAATAATCGTGACCGATTAAAGCAATCCATTCAAGCCTGCTAATGTAATTAACAAATGTACTTATATATGTTATACCTTTATGTGTCTATATGTACCTATCTATTTACTTTGTTTTATTGTCCATCAGGGCCAAAATTCTTATGCCTGGGGGCCCCGGGTCGAGCTTAAAACACGTATAAAGGATAGATAAAAGCAACTGTTTTTCATAAAAACTGATGTACGAATACTGTTTATTGTATACATGTTGTAAAATATCAGTTTTAAGATGTGGTTTTGATTATTTTCACTTTACTGTAACTTTCATAGAATACGCCTTGTTATTTTGTGTTAGCAGAGTATTTTAAGTCTTATTTTGTTAAGTTGTAGTGTAATTTGTGTACACGGTTCAAATAGGTTGTTTGTAATCGTTATTAGATGAAAATAAACATATAAAAGTAAAAAACTACGAAGTTTCGCTTAATCAGCGAAGGTTATAATATACAATAAATATATTTTGATCTAAATTATGTTCTTAATTAAATTCAAAATTAGATCATTCGAAAATAATTGGAAACAAAATAATAAAAATAAAAACAAGGCATTTTTATGTAAATGACAGTTAAGTGAAAATAATCAAATCCACATAGAGCCACAATCGAAGCTCATTATTTTGTTACAGCCTAGTGTATGTACAGTGATAATGGCCCTAGATGCATTATGTAGGTACGTTTGACCTACGAGATAGAATTGATCGGTATTTATTATACACTGGCAGCGAGCGACAGAAGTTCAACATCGATTTTATCACTCATGCCTCTCAGAGTATTGCAAGTATTACCCCAAAGAAGTTTTGCTTTGTTCGACCATTATCTCATTTATGCCACTATCGTAAAACGATAGTTAAGCACCGACTAAATGATTGATGAACTAGGCATAAGTGCAGCAAGTGATCTAAGGGTTGATATTGCAGGGTGAAATTGTACAAAATGTAGGTGATGGTCAGTCATTTTCTCACCGCTACCAATGCACAGTTTGAAATTATTCAACCTACACGGTGCATTAAAAATATTGGCATAAGTGCTGATAAGGACTGAATCGATTCCGGTTCTGAGAAACTTGATCGCCACTTTTCGCCGATATAATTGGCGAAAGTACTCCAAGTTGGCCAAGTATATCGGCGGGCGGCTGACTACTGGGCAGGTATAAGTACTTTCGCCTACAAATCCCACTTTAGTGCCCAGGTACTTCATCCGGGCGTGAACCAGTACGAGGACCGAGTTGATGACGATTGAGGTGCCATGGAGTGAACCACGAAAAAAATTGACCATGAAATAAGACGGCCTCCCTCTTATAACACCGTGTCTAACAGGGCAACCCATAAGTCCAGCGCCTCAATGATGTGCTCTCAGTGTTGTGAGCCGTTCACAATTTGTTGTTCTCAGTCTGGGTGGTCTTTGTGTCCGTTTCAAATATGTTAACAAAGTCCCCCGCGACACAGGATATATTCCTATTGCGGGAAGTGTATTTTAAAAAAAAAACGCGCGACCACCAGAGAGCTGGGGTGTCAAGCAGGCTGCTTCTCGAAAGTTCACCCCCTTAGGTCAGTGACATCCGCGTAACAAATTACGCCAAACCCGGGAGGGAAGTCTCCTCGAAGGCTCCAGTCGTACCCTACATTCTCCAGGAGGGTTTCAAGAACAGACCCTTGTGGAATACTGCACGACATGGCTCTTGCTCCTCGTACATGACGGTGCGCTCTAAATAATCTACCACTAGCCACTTTAGGTACTCTGGCACCCCGTGATAGTGAAGTGCCTCCCTGATGTAGTTGAATGGTAAGCTATTGAATGTGTTGGCGACATCCCCGCCTTATATATATGTACATATAATTTACCCGCCTCGTCTAGCAACACCATGGGCCTGTAGGTCGCAACCGAATTGGCAGGCCGTCCTGGATTGGTTAATACGACTAGCTTCCCGCTTTTCCAGCACTCACTGAAACGTCCGGACGCCAAGCTAGAGTCGAGCACCTCCCTGAGGGGGTCTGACATGAGGTCGAGAGTTAGGGCCAGCATTCGGCAGGTATCCCGTCTGGTCCGGAGGCGGTGTTCTTGGATCGGATAGCCACCCCTACCTCTACACCCGTAAATATTATTATTAGTGTTGTGGGTAGGTTTGGCATAATAGATAATGCGAACAATAGCAAAATTCTCGTTTTTACGCTTAATATGAAATAAACATCATTGATGAATAAAAAAGCAAATTAATAAAGCATAGTGTAAAGATATTTAGATAATAACGTTTATTATATAGGTCTAAAATTTTTACAACATTGAGATATAGCACCCACGTTTTGTTAATATGAAAAAAACATTTTTCTTTTTGTGAACTTATAGAAATTTTTTCTACTTTTTTGTTCGCGAGTTACCAAAGCAAGGTTTTTGTGTAAAATTTGTTTAACTATAATTTTATTAAATTTTATTTGGCAAAGAGGTGGACCGCACGGGTAATAAAACGATTATCCTTCTCTTTAAATAGCGATTATTTTTGCTGATATAAGAACATTACATACTTCGACTAATAAATTTTGAAATTACCTATTTCTATTTCCATTAAGTTTGAATATTTGCACTGAATTCTACAGATAAAGTTTCTTCAATATTTCTTAACACTGGTTTTAACATGTTGATCGTTTGATAGCAAAATATGTGAGACTATCCCTAAACCATTTACGGATTTCCGGTAATAAAAACATAAGTATGTATTTGATTTCAATTTCTACCATTATCTCTTTTCGTTAACAATCGATTGGTCTGCCCATCCCTACTATAGTATGACGTGGTTTTTAGTTTGACAGTTCCGCTATTGGAACTTGGAAGCGGCAACCGGAGATATCGCTAGGACATAGTTAGACGATTTCTGATCTGGTAGTCACAGGACGAAGACGTGGAATTTTGTTGTTAGGATAAGTTCTGATAATATCTTTTATTGTCCCAGTTAATTTGTAAAAATTAGAAGAAACCGAATAAAACTAATTTTAATCATGGGAGCATTCGCTGTCGGTCTTGGACTTCTTTTACTAATCGCCACGGCTCGTAGCGATGAAGCACCAAAAGGACCAAAAGTAACCCACAAAGTGAGTATTGTAGTCCGTCTATTGTCATACAATTTAAGCGGACACGTTTCATTCAATGTAACGGTATTTCATAAAGTTCATTACGCTTTATTGGTCGGTGACCTTTAGCGATGACGGTACAAGCTTTTGTTAGAAAAACTTTAATAAAACTTTACTTCCTGTCTCTATTTTCGCATGTATTACTTGACTAATGTTTAAATATTTCAGTAAACGTCATCACTATTATGTTATGAAGATTTTAACTACTGATGAGAACAATTTTTTGAAACCTAAGTAATAATAATGCCTTATTTTCTCCGAGGATGTCTAGAGCCAATACTACAATGAAATCCGTACACATCTGTCTATAATAATAAATTAATTTAGACATCACAAATTTTAAATTCTGGTAAATTTATAGTAACTGGCACAGAATTTTGAAAATTTTTGTAGTGAAACACATTATATGACTCAGCTGAAATCATAAATACCTATCATTTCAATTTAATAATATAATATTTAATACTTATTATTTCACTCTTATGACTCTTTAAGCTAATTTATTGGTCACTCAAATTATTCTAATCCACACAAAACAAAGAGTTATTGAATTATAAATATTAGTTACCCATTTTCAACTCCAACCTCTCACTCAAATAAGGCTTTCATTAATTCCTATATTAACTTAAATCAAGTTATCAAAATATTATTCTAATTTTCAACTAAGACAGTTTACTTAGGTTAACATAAGCTGGAAAATATAAATCTAGTTCTATACCTACATAATATTTTTACAGTATGTCAGAGGAAATTTCCGTAATGTAAACAATACACTTTATTTTTAATAATACATAAGTAATATAGACATGCAAAGAACACATGAATGCTATCTGAAAAACATACCTACATAAGGGAAAACAGTTGAACTGAACTATTTCTTATTACTTCTAGGATGTTTTTCCTAGGCTTTTTTCCTAATTTAAAAGGTGTAAGTTAAAATACAGTGTGTTTGTTACTATTTAATTGTATCAATCATAAAGCTTTCTTTTCTTTTTTTATTTAATTGAAAGGTAACATTCAGTATCATATATTTTTTAGGTAACATTTCAAATGAAGATTGGTGATGAAGAAATTGGTAACATTGTCATTGGTCTTTTTGGTAAAACAGTTCCTAAGACTGTAGAAAACTTCTTCCAATTGGCTCAGAAACCATCAGGAGAGGGTTACAAGGGTAGCAAGTTCCATAGAGTCATTGACAACTTCATGATTCAGGGTGGAGATTTCACCAAAGGAGATGGGACTGGAGGTAGGTGTATGCACAAAAAGTGCATCAAAAAAAACTTGTGTTAAGAATAATTGCTATTTTTTATTACCATTCTGATTGCCATTTATAGCGTTGGCAATAAAAAACAATCTTAATTTTAATCAAACCTCTTGTTATATTAAAAAGTTTAGTTTCTTTACATTTCTGATTTTACAAAACACAAAAGAGAATATTTCCAATAATAATGCTATTATTTATAGATGAATGACATATTGACATAAGTTACTTATATACCTAAGTTGATAAGGACTGATAACTTGTGGCATCTTAAAATTAAAGCTTGCTAGTTTATCTTCCAGTTATCACCACTTAACATATCTGTCATTTTGAAACAGATAGGAAACTTAAGGCATTTTAATATCCTTTAGATTATATTTGATCTCTTGGATACATTACATTTCTATCAAGTGGAAACTAAAATGTAATATGTAAAAAACTTTCTATGCAGTACCGCTACATTGTGAGGTCTAATTGTTACCTAAATATTTTAACCAACAAAAAAAAAGAGGTTTCAATTTGAATCTCTTTTGTATGTTTTTTACTTTAGAACCCATTTATTTAAAGACCAATTTGGAAAAGGGTAAAAACTTAGAAATGAAGAATACAGTTTACTGCGATTTATCATAATGCAACTAGCATTGAAGTTGGCTGTATTCTTTAAAAGTTAATTATTAACTTTAATGTATAGAATAAGTAAATAGACTAGATATTACAGTGGCTTATGAAATGATGTTACATCACATACATGAGTGTGTACTCCAAAGTATTATTAAATCCTGAAAATATCTAAACCTTCTATTTGATAGGTTCTTACAGGACAGGGTTGCTTTCCTAGTTTTAATCTAAAAAAAATCAAATGAAAAATTTACCATTATCTCTGTGACTCACAGGCCGAAGCATTTATGGTGAGCGCTTTGAAGACGAAAACTTTAAGCTCCGTCATTATGGTGCTGGATGGTTGTCTATGGCTAATGCTGGCAAGGATACCAATGGATCCCAGTTCTTTATCACCACCACTAAAACCACTTGGCTAGATGGCCGACATGTTGTATTTGGAAAGGTTTTAGAAGGCATGGTAAGGATTTTTTTTAACTGATAAATTAAAAAATAAGATATTCTAACAACATATTCTAAGTGTTCGAATTATTTTTATATTTAACCTCATTATTCAAATGTGTAGTGTTGTGAACTATTATCTCATGTCAAGATATTTTTTAATATACATTAAACATAAAATAATGTGTTATAACAGTGCAAATCAGTCATTTTACAGATAGTGATTTTACATTATATGAAAAATGTAAATTTTGTTGCAAAATAGTTATAGTTAAATTGAAATCCAAATTCAGTTACATGCTTTAATTTAAAAAAAATGAAATAAATGGCAAGTATGTAAAAATGCAAGTTTTGCAGTATTCCTTTCACAATTTATTGTAATTCTGTTTACAGGATGTTGTACGTAAGATTGAAAAGACTACTACAGGGGCTAATGATCGACCTGTTAAGGATGTCGTTATTGTTAACACCATAGCAGAAGAAGTTGCAGAACCTTTCAGTGTCTCAAAAGATGGTGCATAACACAATATATATGTATAAGAATATTAGTTTATTATGTAAACACAGTAAGGTATTATATTGACAATGCATCTTACATATAAGTTACGAAAATATTCTTTGTGTCACAAATAGCGTATAATACGATACTACGTCAAAGTAAACTTAAGTTTCTTTTGGCTTAAAACATGATGTTTAATATATATGTCTGGAGATATTATAACATGATTGAATAAACTGCCATCTTTATTTTTTTATAATAAAACAAAATATCTAACTGCTATTTTTTATTTCTTTTAGACACAATTCAGCTTCCTCTTTGATTTCCTTGTTTTTTGATGTAATGGCTAGTTTCCATGCATGCCCACAATATTTTCTTGCTGTGTCCAGCAGTTTCTTTTTCATATAAACCCTTCCTAAATTAACATACATTGTGCCCAAATCCTCCATATCTAAATCTTTCGCCATTTCAATAGCTTCTTTGAAGTATTCAATACTTTCCTCTGTTTTACCAAGACGATCACATACTGTACCGATGTCATTTAATTGAGTTACCAAATGTTCTTTCTCTACTTCAGGAATCTCCCTAACTCTATTTAATGAATTTATCATGAACTTGAGGCCGTCTTCACATCTATTGCAATCTATAAATAGACGACCATACCAATCTTCTGTTAAGGCTAAAAGCTTTTTGTTGTCATCACTTGGATTTTCTTCAAATGCTTTTTCCAGCTTTTCTAAACACCACTCATATCCTAACTGAGCAGTTGAGTATTCTTTTTTCAAATGAGATACCCTTGCTAGTTTTGCACTTATGTGTACTATACGAAAATCATCTTCTTGAGCTCCAGCTGCCATTATTCTTTGAGCAACAGCTATGAACAACTGTTTAGCCTTATCGAGATGTTCTTTTTGAAGAGCAAGATTGGCCATTACATCATATATATAGGTGATCCCCAATTCATGATGAATTTGTTGGGCCTGTCTTAATGCTACATGTAGGAGCTGTTCAGCTTTATCATGTTCCTCTTTTTGAATAAATAAAATACAATGTTTTATTGTGTGAATGAGATCATCTTCTGCACTTGGTTTCTCTTTGAACCCCAACCAGGTAAATATGGAAAAACTTAACAAACAAGGAGATAACTTATGCCTCGGAATGTTATACTTTATTTTGATAGGCACAACAACACTGCCAAAATTGCTTCGGATTCGAGACACTCTGTTCCATATTGATCTGTATTTATGGGACATTTCTGGTGGAAATAAGAATGCTTTATATGTGTTTACACAATTTGTAACATTATACAGTAGTTTGTTATTATATAACCTTACTTGTCCAAATATTTGACCCTCATGATAATATTTTATTAAACAAAACCAAAAGATTATTCCTTGCCTAATGTTTTATTTTATTGTAACTAGTTACTGGATAATATCTCGGTAATCAATAGTCACTGTAGTTAGGTAAATGCAAGTCACAGATTAATATAATGTAGCAAGCTAAATCAAGTCAAAAAAGTATCCTACGATCTGCATTTGACATATCGCACATTTAAAGACAAACCGTTTCTAAACGAAAATATACAATTTTACACAGGAGCTAAAATAAGAAAAATGCAGGACCTTTTTGCAATAGCATTTAAGATCATGGTGGTTTGAGCCATTCTTTATGGTCATAATGATGGATATTTATTTACACTATAACATTAAATTCAGAAAAGCTATTTTTTTTTAAAAGAACATTGTTAATTACGATTTTAAATTTTTATAGTAACACTTTTCCATTATTATTTTTTTCAATTATGATTAATTATTGTAAAATCCCCATATAAATTATGTAACAAAATATAAAAATACTTGAAAACCCATTATAATAATGATTTTACAATACTACTAAATTGAAAATATTATAATTAGCATTCGCTCAAATTGTAACTGGACAGATAAATAAAATAACACATTCTAATGTTTTATTCTCATTTAAAACGCGAGATCCATACATTTCTTTGACATTATGGCACTTACATCTTTAGCATTGCTAGGATGTCTTAATAATCAGTCTTTATTCAGTATCTAGTTTTAAACCACAGCAAGTTGTCACTAAACTTCCGTCAAACTTCCGTCATCACTCTTTAACGAACAATTCACAATTAGTATAGACACGATATTGCATTTAGCAAGCAAATCTTATTTAGTTTTGTAACGGTCAAAACCGACGCCATCTATGTCTAAAATTGGATTTTTTTGAACAGTGTCAAACTCATCGTATAGTTTATGTAGTTTTAAGAAAGATGGTATTAATAACTCAATTCTCCAAAAATTTCGTTTAGTAACGGTTTGTCTTTAAAGGTGCGATATTATATACTGTAGTGATTAGGCATGGGACAAAATCACAGTGAACTGTGAAAGACCGGTGATTTATCGTACCGGTAGTACATTTGATTTTTCGTACGTATGTTAAGGTTACTAGTTACTCACGCGTTGACGCCAATAAGCTGTTTTCAGACGATGCATAAAGACCATATTTAACAGTAAATCTAGTTCCCTACATAATAATTTAAAAAATACTAGATTTACTGTTAAATAGCGTCTAACCTAGCAACCCTAATCTACATAGGCATAGTGGAGAGACGACTCGACTTTTCAAACTGATTTGAGCATGAACCGAGTTAAATCGGTTTGCCCGTGGTTTAAACCGGTTGAAGATCGCGCTGCACTTCGCTTTACCGATTCTCCTAGTCGACGCGACACGACAATCTTTATCAATTTGCCCAAAAGCACAAACTATATTATTATGTTCCTACAAAATCGAGTGCGGTTAGTACGCGTCTTTTAACAATAATTTAATCCATAAACCGATTTACTAACAGTTCGGATCTAACGGACATATTTTTCTTATATCCAACAAATAAGAAAAAAAGAAAGCATGGTAATCGTGTTACTTGACTGCGTAGTTTTGCCCTTGTATTGCCTTTAGCTCTTAACAAACTTCCAATCAATTCATACCATCACCGCGTTGGTCATCAGTTAGCGTAGGTAATGTCAAGTTTTACACTTGTATGTATACTCGGTTGCAAACTGATTGATGAAACCGTAAAACTAAGGTTTAATCAATCCGCGCGAATCATGTTGCACTTTGCTTTCGTATGTTACATTCGCTAGTCAACCCATCATACGGTTCCAACCAGTTTAAACAGCGATTTACTGCAATTTCAACGGTTCGGTTTGGAACCGAATCGCACGAATTGTCAAACCGATTCCACTCAGTTTGTCAATTTTCTACGCTCTACACACAGTTCACTGTGATTTCGTCCCATGTCTGATTGTGGTGGTTGGTTCATCATCATCAACAGCCTTTAATGGTCCACAGCTGGACATAAGCCTCTCCTTAGAAAGGTGGTTGGTTATAGTCCATTTAATCTAACTAATCTAAGTGAGTGCGTCACAGAGTACAGTATTACTGTACGGATGAATTTTGTCACTGTCACTCGACAGTGACTAAACTTTCTTGAAATTTAAGGGCCTGTCCATACAGCGGCGATATTTCATCGCTCATTTTTTTCCGCAAAAATTGTGGGAGATGGGATTTATATAGTACACTGGCAGGAAAAAATTCACACGTGTCGATCTATTTCGAATATTTTGTGTAATATGAAGTAGATACCAGCTATACTATAGTAGTAGAGACTACCTGTACCATACCATATTAAATATATCGTTGAGTTGACGAACTGTTGTTAATTGAAATAGGTCATATAGAGCTTGAGATTTTTCACAATTATAATTCTGGGGACATTGTTCTATTGACCAATTTATATCACCAAGATTAAAGTCACCCATTATACAGTTTATATACTTAGATGTTTGTTTGAGGACATTGTTGCATTTATTGAAAAATTCACTAACTACACACACTGGTAAGTAGTGAGGTAGGTAGGCTATACACAAGTTAAGTACACAATTTACATTTACATTATTGCACCCATATATCCTCCAAATCAGCTGATTGCCAATTACTTTTAAATGAAACTTGAAGTTTTTTAGCATAAGCGATAAGCACACCACCACCATGTTTTTGTCAAATCGACAACAAAATTTAGGATCACGATCCCTACGCAGTACACAATATCTGTCATCAAATAGTTTTGTGGATAGTACAGTATCATCAAGACAAGTCTCAGTTAAGCATATTAAGTCAAAATTATTAACAAGTATTGTGTTATAGAAATCCAGAACTTTACTTTTCATACCTCTAATGTTTTGATAATATAATGAAAGATACATCTTTAATTTGTCTAAGAACTAATGCACAGTCCAAATAATTTATGAAAAATTAAGATATAAGACCTAGGCCCTCCATGTTCCTGATCATTATGTGTTTAGAGTCACTCCTCACATATATACGACCGTTTTTAACCCATACAAATATTTATTAGGTGGCGAGAGGTGTTCAGATACGTGTTGATCAGATACGTAGACCTGTTTCTTTTCGCCTGCAATCCCCAACATATTTAACAAGTCTGTCCTTAGGGTTAGACTTGTTAAATCTGTGCACTGCAGAATAGAATTCGTCACGCTTCCTTACATTGCGAAACTTAACGACTGTACTACGAGGAAGTTTGCTATCCTTATTTAACTTGGCAACCCGTGTGCACTTGACCATGTCATCCTCACTTAAAGGGTAACTCACTACCTTACCACATTGTTGTAGGTGATTAGGCAAGTTCTCATTATGATGTTCAGGCACTCCGTGTATTTCCACATTGTTTTCGAGCAGATATTGGTCCAAGTTGTTTAGACGATCTGATAGGTCACTGACAGTGGTCTTGAGAGAGATTTTCTCTTTAGTTTCGATTGTTTTTTTCATGTCATCATACTTTTCACTAAGAAAATTCAGAGAATCACGAAACTCCTGCAAATCACTCTTAATTGGAGCAAGCTCAGTCTGTAATATACTAGTAATTATCTTAGGGAGTTCGGTTTTGATCACTTTTAGGACTCGCTCACCTATTGCCGATATTAATGTTTCCTGTTTGGCCTCCATGTCTGAGAGAGGGCTATTACTAGATAGATAATCGGACTGTTTTCTTCTAATGGTAAAATTTGCTAATCCTTCCTCATTTGTATTAAAAGTACTGGTCTCAACTTCTCTTATGTTACGTACCGGAGTATTGGTATTCCCGACTTTAGGTTGTTTACTGCTGATATTGCTTAACATCAATATCATCAATATCAATATTATATTGCTTAACATATATCCGTTCATATGTGTTGGTATTGGTAGCATTACATACCAAAATAACTCGGTTGTGGTTAAAGCCTTTTAAGGTAAATACATTTTAAACAGAAACTACATCAGTAAAAGATTAAATGATGTATTGGTCTCTTTTCTCATCTCTTTATATATATATTACCCTTACGTCTACAACTAATCAACCAAAGCAGGCGATAACGAATGATTACGACGTAATTATACACAACTTTACAATACATCTCTCTCCTAATCGGTTCCCTCAGTGCTGCGGATCGTGTCTCACGTTCATTCTGTTAACCATTTGTCTCTATCCGTTGCGATCAGTGCGATACTTACTGGTGTCTTCAGCTGTTCAGAGTTCTGGGACCATCTTTTGAGACAACGGCCTCTGAGTCTTTGCCCTTCTACATTTCCATTCAAAATCAAACGCTCCAGGTTGTTACCTAAATAAAACAAATTAAATAATTTCTTCTATCACTAAGTCAATAAATGAGAAAGATGTGTTATTTTTCGTAAAGAAGGAATATTGTTAAGATATTACCAGCCGAAAATCGATTCAAGTGGCGGACTAGCGTGCAATGGGAGAGGCCTATGTCCTGCGATAGGCTGATGATGATGATGATGATTGCCAGCTTTTACCCACGGTTTGTAAATGTCAGTTTTGTCAATAAATTAGTCCGGGATAAATAGAAGCCTCTGTACTATTCTAGATTATTAATCTATCTATGTGCCAAATTTCATTGTTGATTAAGTAAGAAACATATATTTTTACTATTTTTTTTGGAAAAAGAATATAATTAAGCGGCGGTAGCCTAGTGGTTAAGGCATTGGACTTGCGATGAAGAGGTCGTGGGTTCGAATCCTGACCAGTACACTACCGACGTGAACCCACACCCATAACACAAGCAATTTAGCTTAGCTGGAGGGGTAAAATATAATAATATTTGTCATGCTTTTGTTACTAACATCTTTGAGTCTCAGTTACTCCAATAAATAAATTATTATTATTATTAACGGGAATACTAGTAATTACGGTTGCTAGTAAGACTTAGAAAGAAATATACTCGGAGAATCGGTAAGTTAAAAAATGTTCCTCATTCAAACTTGCACACCTTTTTAAGGGTGGTTCTAAAAAAAAAATTCATATAATTTTTCTACCTTCATTATGCACCCTTAACAGTGGAAATTTTAAAAATCCTTTCTTAGTGCACGCCTACGTCACCGAAGGAACATTTGTGCAAAATTTCATGCTTCTACACAAAGCGATTTTAGCGATTTCAGCTGTGCGTTGATCGATCAGTCAGTTAGTCACTTTATTGTTTTTATAGATAGATAAAGGTAATGAAAAGACAATACAAGTAAATAAAATAGTTACTTCGAACATAAATGTATATCACTCATGCGTACAGAGGTAAACAAGTATAAAATCAAAGAGTTGGGTCATTTGTTTTATGTTTGTTTATAGTTATATCATCTAAAGTTTTCGTCCATACCAAATGCAAGAAATATTATCATATCAGATTAAAAGTAGATGAAATTAAATTTTAACTCTATCAAGTGCTTATATTTAATAATATTAAAAATACTTTACATTTAAAATTTTTCTCACTTCACACAAAAAAGAATTTTTTCTCACTTCAACCTTTACTTTTATAAATGTTGTAAGGTGCACACAGCTTCTTACGCTAATTTTAAAGTGCCTACTAACATTTTCACTTCACCACCTCATTCCGGTCCTATCGTCAGTCCGTCCTTTGTTGTCATATTGGCCTCTTCAACAGCTACCTCGGCCAATGCATTTCTCTATTATTTATTTGCCTTCTTTGTTTCGACTGAAAATGTACATTCTCAAGGTGGTGACAAGAGAGAAAAAACCTTTGTAGTGAGCACTGATACACTAAGAAATCGAGCGATGCCACTAAGCCAACCCGACATCTCATTGGAATTGGAAGGAAGAAAGATGATGACTGCCGATTTTTTATTTTTTAAAGATGCTCTACAATATCATATGTAATATTAAACAAACTTACTGTAGGTAATTGGTATACAATAAAGCATATATTCTATTCCATAAATCCAAAAAGGCATGGCCCCAAGCCCCAAGATAGACAAATCGTTAAAAACGACTAAACGTCAATGTCAGCTTGTCAAGAGAATGAACGAATAAAAAGAATTATTTTGTACAATTTTATCTCGTGGTTGGTATAGGTAGTGTTCGTAAAGGAGTGTCGTCATTACAAATTGAATTAGAAAGCGAACGAACTGCGAATTGTGTATGTTTATAATGATAGGACTAAGTTGACGTAACGGTGGCCTGTTCCAATAACTCGATTATTGGAGTAATGGTAAGGTAATGCTGCCACGGGCTTGAGACGCTTTCGTAACAAACTAAATGGCAAAAGAATAAATACAGATGAAAATGCACGATATAAATGGCTCAGATTTACCTCCTGTTAAAGAGGACACGTTTTGTAAACATGTTTTATACTACGAAATAAATAATTCGTGGTACGTAAATGTTATTCGTCCTTGTATTCTTGATACCTGTGTTTGTATACTATGTGCCTATTTTCACAGTTTTAATCTTTTTCAGGGTCCGTATTTGGGATTTGATTATTTTGATACCGAATGCACTGTTTGTATTGTTCCTAGTCGTAAGATTTAACAAAGCTCAGTTGAAGTTGCGTGCTACGAGCAGCCCTATATTCCTGACGTTTTACACATTAGTATGGGGTAATGTTATCATAAGCCTGGTGCGATGTGCTGTGTCTATGACTGTAAACCCGTCTGTGCCACTCGGTGGTCTTGTAGACAAGATTCTTTGGGTCATGGTCAGGTTTTTCTTACTTGCCACTGAGATGAGTGTTGTCATTTTTGGTTTGGCATTTGGTGAGTACAATCATTGTGTTCTTATTACTATTGTGTTCAAAGTTATTACTCTAGTTTTTTTCTGTGTTAAATGTGAAATATTCTTGCAATGACCTTGTAATAGAGGTTTGTTCAAGGATAAAAAAAAATAACAAAAAAGCGATACCTTTCTAATGTTTATTTATGTAACAGTTAACTTAATTTTTTTAGGTCATTTAGATAGCCGCAGCAGTATTAGATATGTGCTTTTGGCAACATCTCTCATATCCCTTGCTTTTACCGTAACGCAAGGTACACTTGAGATTGTGATGCCCGATGATATATTTCACATAGATACCAGAGACTATTATTTATTTGGACATGGAGGCATGCTGTTTTGGTTCACATCCTCTGTGATTTTCGCTATCATTTACTTCTTAATATTACTTTTGCCGTGGATACCATTGAGAGAATATCTTGCATTACCAAGTAAGTATGTAGATATTATGCAATATTGTAAAAAACTACATTAACAGTAAATGTAAATTTTCTTCAGTTTTCTTTGGCCTTATTGTGAATCAAATAAAAAATGCAGTGTTTTCCTCTGTATAAAAACATTATTTAGCATTGGTTTCAAACCCAAATCTGACTTACTAGTTACAGATTTAAGCTAATAGATTCTTATAAGTACAGGATACAATATATAACATATACATAACATATTTTGAGTTTTGATAACATAAATATTATGATTATGAGACTAGTTTGTTAAGAAGTGTGCATCCAAGTAATTACTTAGATAATAAGTTGTTTAATAACACAACATTTAACTGCTTTAATTACTCATTATGCAAGCATTTCATTAGGCAATTACTATAGTTTAATTATTAAAATTAGATGTAATTGTTTTATACTTGATTCTCTCATATTAATATGAGACCAAAGTAGCATAATTTTTGATAACAGAGTCATTATTGGCATTGTTTCCTCTTTTCTTTATCATTATTTATTGCACCTTGTATAAATAGTTATTTATTAAAGTGTACTTGTTGTTCGCAATGTTTAAATTAGCCTATCTGACAATGTTGCATAAAATAGTAATAACATTACAGAAGTAAGTTTTTTTTTATTATTTAAATTAATAGTATATGACAGCTGAGACAAATAATTATATCCATAAAAAAATAATAATTAGGAAACAAAAAGAAGTTCAACTGTTAAAAAATATGTGTCCACATGATTTTATTATATAAAGTACGAATCCAGGCCAAGTGCGAATTGTATATTGACTTTTTTATTATGACCTAATTTTTTTTGTGGTTACTCATATCACATCAACAGCCTTTTATAGCTCACTGCTGGACATAGGCCTCTCCTTAGAAAGGAGGTTTTGTACCTACTGTGGTTGTTACTCGATTAATCCCAACAACGAAATTAGTAATTAAGATGCGCCTGCACCTTTCATCTATCAAGATTGTATACAAAATATAAGGAGATTTATGCTCAATCAATCAATATTTTGTTATTTTAAGGTCATTTCTGATAGTAATGTTTTTCCTTTAAATTATAGGTAAAGAACTTTCTAGAGTTTTACTTTCATTTTCTTATCTTTTAACTGATTCTTTGATCAGTGTCATATGAGAAATGGTTCAAATTTTTATATGGGCTTCAAAAGTAAACTTGAGATGAATAGTTGCCAAATTTTACCCAGATTCATTCGGCCATTCTGTTGTCACAGAGTAACAAACATCTATGCTCAAAAACTTTTGTGTTAATAATATGTTTTTTATTTATTTACATTTATTTATTTATTCTGCACATCTGTATTTGGGTCACAGGAATTAATACTTGTAGCAAATTCTTACTTTATAGAACCAGTAAGTTAGATGTAAAGATCTGGTTTATTTATAAAGATGTACAGAATTCTAAACATCTATTGAATGTTACTTAAATATGTAAAGAGCCATGATGCTAGTGACACAGTTTTTTATAAATGTTACAGCTCTTAATTAAATAATTAAACAAACACTAAATTATACAGTTTCCAAAGTTGCTAATGTTCATTTTGAAAACAGTTTAAGATTATTTCTATTAAAATTTTAATTTATTTAAATCACTTAAAGTAAAACTAGCACAAAATCAAGCTTCATTTACGTTTTTTAAAGTACTTTTATTTCTAATTCTTTTAATCCTCCACAGTTAGGAATTGATAAAAAAAATTCATATTAAATACAAATTTCTCACAAAGATCTAAGTAGTAGTAGTAGTAGAAGTTAGTAAGATGAAGTTGTACATAAAGGTCACTCGCTGAAAACTATAAGATTTATTAATCAACCAAAATACTGGAATCATTAGGGTTTTTAACACATAATTTCCCTATTGCAAAATTACTTTCTGCATTTAAATATAATATTGTTAGCTCTCTAACCATTGAAACCTGTTTTCAGCGAAACTCTCTTTCTACCTTTACGTGCTGTTGCTGGCGCTTCTCGACACGACACAAGCTATTGGGACCGGCTTACTCGCCTGGGGCAACATGCAATGTGGCCTGTGCATTGTCGATGTGACAACATGGCTATACTTCTCGTTATACACTCCACTTGTATATCACACGTTTCTCAGCGAATTTTTCAGGTAGGCTGTAGAAGTTTCAACTACATAAAAATATGTACAATTTCGATTGTCAGATATATATTGACGATAAAAATATATGTAATACGGTTTGTCTGACAAATTGTCGAGCTTCAGCCGGCCCCTTATTAAGAGGGGCAGGCAGGGTGCTTTACTTGTATTGAAGAGAATTAATTAATGAGAGTGTTTGGCAGTAATCTTTAAGACATAGAAAAAATTAAAAGAAATCTTCTCTACGCAATACTACTACTATTACTACTCCCAAATAAAATAAAAAGTGACTGTGTCAAAGGGATTCTTCTTATTGCGTTACAAAGATCAGGGTGTCATTATAACTAGAGAATACTATTACGTTAGATTACTAGAATGGCTGTGGATTACTGTTAGGGAGCAAAAGCACCTTTTGCACGATAATGCATGTGTATGAGGCGCAAGTTACGGTAGCTGCTGTGCTAGCTTAGAATATCCTTTTAGCCCAGATTTATTTCCAAGCCATTATTATCTGTTATCGATAAATCAATTTTTTTGACACCCTCATAGCAATTGCCCTAAATTGAAAAAAAAAATTGAGATATCTATTGAATAATACATAAATGCTTTACGGCTTAATCGTAAAATAGTTGTCGTGAGTGTGAATACCATACCGTTTATACATTTTTAATTTAATATTGATCTGAAACTATCCAAGACATTATTAGCTTACATGTCGGCCTATTATAATAGGTATGATTAAGTGTTGTATCTCGTTTTAAGCATTAAGTATCAGTATTATTGACAGACAAATTTAACATTGAATTTTATAAACTATATAAAATAAGTACAGGACTTTGGATGACGTGGCGAAAACTTTAAATACAAAAAATACATGCTGGTCATTCGTACTATACATATATTTACATATTTCACAGCTTTTGAGAACAAGCTTAGGGCATCACACGCGAAGTTTACATACTTCCGTGTAGAACGGAAAAGGCGCTTGCCGAAACACTCGTCTAAAACTGCAAAATTAACTTATAAGGGAAATACTAATTGTACAACTATTTTACATAGACTATTTAAAATGTTACTTATGGACCAGGACGGCGCAGTATACAAATCTTATATACTTATATATCATTTCAGTGTATCTCAACCAAGCATCATGTTTTCGTATAAGGCTCAAATGGATGAACCAATGGATGACGATCAAGTCTCATTACCGCATCAGCAGAGCTTCAGTTCACTTAAAACAGATTCTGATTATATTTATCAGGTAAGTTTTTGTCCAACATATATTATATCATAGGGCTCTTGAAATTATTAGTCCCGATAAGCCTTAACTTTTAACGCAAATTAATCATATATGTACTGTAAAAATACTTTTGCTAAATTGTCATTATTTTTATCATTTATTTATTTTATTATTTATGATAAATGTAGTAGCCATTGTTTACAACAGCGTATTGTACTGGACAAATCTTCAGTTAACTTTAGACGATTGTGCCTGTTATAATTGGAAAACATTTACATATTGGTATTTAAATATATCTTGTTACCATTTTTATCTACATATATTAGTTTGTTTTTTTTTTTAACTTAGTAATCTCTGAAACTATTAACGACAGCTAGAAATAGCTATTTCAAACATGTGTCGTTTTGTGAATATATATATCGTATATTTATCGTAAAGCCAAGAAGCCATAGTGGTTTTTCAGTAAACGTGCTACTATGTATACTGCACTAATATTTAATACTTGCCAATATCAGTGTGCACTGCAAAGAGAAGGAAAACTTGAAACAAACCCTATACCAGCCAGCGTGGTATAGTAGGTAGATCAAAACCTCCTTTCTAAGGAGAGGCCTATGTCCAGCAGTGAACTATTAAAAGCTGTTGATGATGATGATGAGGAATATCAGTGTATTTATGTTGAATTTTTCTTGTTTCCAGCAGAGCAACAGTGTTTATGACAGCACTTTATTCGAAGCAGGCGGGACGACACCCATGAACCCAGTGTACAGCGCATCATTGCAGAGCCCCGATTCAATAGCGTCCGGACAGTCTATAGAAATCGGTGCTCCCACCTCAGGCTTTCAGAGCCAAAATATGCCTTCGACATAACCATAGCACCGCTTAATAAGCTCATTATTGTGTTATTCAACTTTACACATCCAAAGAAACATTACTAATTATATAGCTAGAGTCGCGTAACGATAGATTTAAACCAGAGGTTATAGTAGTTACTCGATATTATTTTGTTCGTTAATGAAATCTCAAATAACTCTTTATATGTTTATGAAAGATATCTATGTACTAGGTCTTAGGTTGGCCCCTCGGAATAATTTATTTGTTAATTATGAAATTAGAACGATTTTTTTTTGGTTATTTTTCTAAGGTTAAATCTGTATCTGTATAATATAAAGAATACGGTAATTTCTTTTAAAAAAAGATTCACAAATTTACGAATATAACTAAAAAAATGTAAACCCGCGAATGATAATCGGCCTATTTTATTTCACAAATAAACTTTTTCCGAGATCACGATTCGTAAATAAATATAATACTAGATTTACTTTGACTTGCGCAAAAGGACTCACTCTAGGTACTAAGCGGTTCGAATAATATATGTTGGAGAAAACCCGATGTTGAAAATCTCAATGTGTTTATTTTGAAGAACTGCAGCAAATCCATGTGCTGCACTGCCAACCTAATACAATTATAGTACTTAGATATTACTGACTTACATCATCAGTTTGCATACAGTTTCATTTGTGATAAGTAAAGCCAGTGATCAAATCGAATAACTTGAGACTGCATTTCATCCCATTTCTTCGAATATACCTTTAACTTCATCGTGTAATGGATCCATCCATAAGATTTTGACATTAGATTATATTATCATAGCTGTTATATTGTAGGTTTATTATAAAAAGTTGCTGTAACGGTAGTGACTTGTCTTGTGATTTTTGTTTTAGTTGTCTCGTTCAGTTTTAAGATAAAGCAATTTAAAAACTTAAGAATCTCTACAGTGTAATGTTTTAAATATATTTTATAAAGAGGACCTTGAAATATTCTGTAGCACTTTTTAACATCTTTGTTTTTACATGGTACACAGGCGTTTGAGTTTACGGATTACCAATTATTGTAACTTCAAGGTAAAAAAAGGAAACAAGTCATTGTTTGTATGGATTCTCAAAATTTATTTTATTATACTTATACATCCAAATATAGAATTTCCTTCTTGCCTTTACAATATTTTTGAAGTTAGAAATATAATATATTAATTTACCTATCTTAGAAACCGTCTAATGACTAGCATTAACATCATTGTTGACATTTATAGAGCTGTACATCATCATTCAACAACAATATCATCAGTTAATTCTTACGCTTTTCGTTTAACATATTTTGTTAAGAATTTCCTTAAAATGTTTCGATACGGTATTTTGCGTGATATGAGGATTATATGGAAGATTCATTAATTTTGCACTCGATTCCATTTAAAAAAACTGGCCCTCGTTATTGGTTAAGCTTAATGTCCATTTCAAAATTAATAATTTAATTTTATGGCAGAGGTATTTCCCGCACGTTCGTGCGGTAGCGCTAAAAACATTTTGGTAAACTATCCCTTTCGCATCCACATTAAAATCTATATATCAATATAAAAAAACTGACCTTAGAAAAATAGATTTTAGTTGTTCATTCAATGTTTTATTTGACAATTCCTTTATTGAATTGACATATCTGATCATCATGAAGAAAAGCCATGTTCTACTTACCCGTCTGGTGTTCAATTATAATATATGTATGCGGGAATAATAGATATTGAACATCTGCACGTGTGCCTTGGTCAATTTTATTGTAGATAATTGTGTCGCATAAATACAGTATTCATACGAGTATTAATGAACTATTGAGATACCGTACTAGGTGAGCTAAACTTAGATTATTCCATTATGTGTGTTACAAAGTTATCGAGGCGAAGAGTATTATGATGGCCAAAATTATAAATCTGTTTTAACCTTTTCTTAGTTGAATTCTCGAATTTTGATGTACTTACGACTTATCTGGTAATATGCAAAAATATTTTTTAATTTTATAATAGATTAAACTAAAGCATCCTAAAGTTAAAATAGGAATGAAAATCGTAGGGATGATTTAACAATACCTACCCTGGTGGTATGGAATTATTGTTTACAATATCGATGGTCTAAAAGATAAATTGTTAAACCGCTAATTTCATTTCCGCCTACTTTCATTGATAATTTTTCTGAGAACAGTTTCCTAAGAAACATGAGCAGCTACAATGAAATAACTTTGTTAAAACTTACATTATGGCAAATGAAGAGACATCCTGTATTAAACTACAAACTGTTGTGGGTCACACATTACATTTATTTAAATTACTGCCTCAATTAAAGTTTTTGCTTTAGAATTGGGGTCTTTTCGGAAATACATTTAGTGTTAATTTGCAACTTCTTGATGGCACTTGTGACTTTAGGTAGCTAGATATTAAACTACCATAGTTTTGTAGTTCAATATAAAGGGCGTTTTACTAATAACTAAAAATGTTCTAACTCCACGACTAGTTTGTATTTTAGACTATCGAGATTCGGGTCTGGTCTGCTTGATTTTCACCCAAGGGAAGACTAAAAGAAACGATTTATATATGTATATCAAAAACTGTCATATATATATATGTTTAATGCGCCATCACATATTCAGTGAAATGTACTAGATGCTTTATTGTAAGAAATAAGAATAATGTGTGATTTATAGAATATGTACATATGATTTATTCTATCGTACTGTGATGCATTATGTTTGCTTATTTTTCTTTTTGATGACATTGATAAAGTGGCAACATTTACTAATATACAACATTTATAAATATATATATATATAGCCTTTGTGAATACTGTGGCAAGTTTTCTGATACACACCAGAGAAGATGAAAGTTAACAGAGTTACGTTCCATAAAATTAAATATATAGTAAGTTCGCTCAGTACTTCAAGTCCTTTTTAAACATCATGCCACATTGATGATTAGATTCTAGAAGTACCTATACTCTATATCGACTACTCTATTTTAATTTATATTTTAAGTGTTCTTTTTTTTTCACATTTGACATTTTAAGAGCTCTGTTTGTCTAATCCAATTATGTTACCAATGTTTTTACAAATTGTTTTCCCACCTTGATAAGATATACAATTTCAATCAGCAAAGTATCTTATTTAAATCCCTTAATTGAATATTGTATATAATAAAAATATTTATTTCACCAAATACTGCTTTGCTAATATTGGTTTTGTGATTATAGATATACTCAAGAGTTAGTCAAGGTATGAAGTGGTCATGTCAATTTCTACTGTATCAGTTTTAATATTGACGACCAAGTCAATTTTCCTTTTATATTGTGATAGTTTATATGAGAACCTAAGTGATATTTCGGTTGACGGTGTATATTTTTGTTGTTTTCGTCTCTTAGAAGTTAATAAAAGAAATACTTTTATTGAAAAATTGTTTTAATTATAAATAAAAATTACTTCATTTTTTATTTGCTTCTTTATCTAATTCTTCTAAAATAAATGGATGTCTTAAACAATCTGTTACTGCAATTCTTTGACCAGAATCTAGTATTGTCATTTTATCCAGTAGATCTTTAAGCTGTACAACTTTCTTTTCTTCTTTAGGAGATACATTTCTGAAAGATTTATTAAGTTCATTGTGCAAGTCTCTTGATGGTAAAATATGAGGTACTTCAACTAACTTTTCTCTTCCAGTAAACTCATCCTTTTTATGAAGTAGGAAATTATTATTATAGTTAAAATGTTGATCCTTGAATCTTCCCTTTTTAATAACTTTACTTGAAAATCTACCTTTCAAATCCATGAAACATTTTAACATCCTGTTATTTGAACTACCTGTGAACATGATCTTTCCTGTAGCCATTTCATATATAGTGCATGCAGCAGACCAAATGTCAATACTATGCTTGTATGTAACACCTAATATGATTTCTGGTGCTCTATAAAATCGCGAAACTAAATAAGGAGTTGGTTCACTTTCATCAATTTTGCCAGCTGAGCCAAAGTCACATAGTTTTAACACATTCTTCTTTTCATTTACTAAGATATTATCTGGTTTTATGTCTGCATGGATAATGCCTAGACGTCTGAGAAGTCTTAGGGCTAATAACAACTGTCTGCTATAAGAAATTAAAGCTTTCATGTTGATTCCATGGTGTTTTCCATACTTCTTAATGACTGATCTTAAATCCATATGCAGTGATTCTAGTAATATACATAAATGACCTTTGTGCATGAAATGGCCCAATAGTTGAACACAATGATATTTATTGTTAGGATCTGCATCTTTAATTTGTTTAAGTATGGCTATTTCTTTCAAGCTCGTTTTGTACATTAAATCATTATTTCTTACGATTTTTATGGCTACATAATCATTTCCATCATTCATGTCTTGTGCTCTGACTACATTAGCAAACACTCCTTGTCCCAATGTACCTTTGATTGTATATTTATTGTTGATCACATCTCCAACTCTGATGTTATAATATCCATCGGGATCATCCCAGTTGTCTATTAAACTTAAATTATGAGCACTATCACCTTGGGTAACCTTGTCTTCCGTTACATTTGAATCAAATTCATCTTTTTCAGAAAACATATCAGTTACTTGTTTTAAAATTTTTTGATCTTCATTTTTTTTAATTCCTTCTTCAGTGGTCTTGTCACAAATACTGTTATCATTATCATTGCTTTTGACATTAGATATGTTGAATTTTTCCAAGAGTTGTTTTCTTTGCTGTCTTCGTAGTTCAATAATAGTCTCTTCATCTTCTGATTCGACTTGTGTATTATCTAACTCTGGAGAAGACTCATGCACAGACTTTTTCGAAGAATTTACATTAATTTTATTTTCTTTATAACTTCTTTTCCCTTTCACAGCAGTAAATTCTTCTTTGGAATGCCTACGTTTCTTGCTAATTTTATTTGGTTCACTATCGGTGTATTTTACTATTTTTTTTAGTTCTTGTTTAAGAGATTCTCTTTTTTTAATTAATTCTTCTAAAGTTGAGGTACACTTTGTTGGCAATGGAGGTGTTTTGGACTCCATTTGATGATATTTATGTCCTGATTTAGATCTGGGTTTAGATCTCACTGATTCCTTTTCTTTTAGATGTCTTGATGATTTGTTCTGTCTGCTGTAATTATCAGCCATCTTGAAGACTATAAATTTATATTAATATTCTTGATTTCTATAAGAATTACTCCACTTATCTGTAAAGACAAATATATTTATATTATTTTTTATAACAAAATATATAGATCTACTGAAGCCAATAAAAAAACTCAGTTGAAGTAGACAAGGTATATATAATTTTCACAAATGTAACTGTCTTTAAAAGCTTTATTTCTTTGTCACTTTCATGAATGTTGTGTTGCAGTCCTGTGTTGTTGTACATTTTGCAATAGAACTGATCACCACAACCCTCATGAAATTGGCATGCTTGTAATCTATTCATAATTATTGTTAACTGTATCTTTGATTACATTTCCACCCTGCTACTATCATCAGGTCCAACATTACTCAGTTGTCAATACTTTTCATGTTGAATGTTGACCTCTCATGTCATACATCCATCCATTTCTAATTACATCTGTCCGGTCATTATGTCCAGTGATGTATGAGTCACTTTATAGATCCGTCCATGATTATCTATTTGTAATGGACATCTTATCATTACCTCTATGTGCTAGCTAGAAAAAATATAGTGTTTTATTAGTTTCACTTTGACTTTTAAAAATAATATTATTAATAATATAATTTTGGAGAGAAATAAAGTCTGCCTTTATAATATAATAATAATGAGTATTTAAACAGTGCCCACTGCATGATATTCCCATGGACTACATTCTGTAAATGATTATTTAGGAGTATTTATATATATATATAATTTTCAAGAACTTAAATCATACCGAAATTCTGTGCTGGGTAAAAGAAGATCCAATTCAGAATTTCAGAAGTGTAAACATTAAAACACGAATTTCATGATATGGGCACCATTGTGTAATACACGAAACCAGGCCATATAATTCTTAGGAACAGGGTTTCCTGCGTTACACTTTTTCTATCATAAACGATCACAGCTTCTTTGGTGTACGAAGCACCTAAATGTTTTGTAGGTGTTTCATTATTTTAAATCATTTTTACATTTTGTCACATTAAAACAGTCAATAAGTAGCACTGCTCTTCGATTTTTAAATCAAAAATACTAGAACTTGTGTCCGTTCACTACAATAAATCTAAACTGATCTAAGCTTGGGTCTATTTTATAAAATACTATTGGAATTTTCTTTACATTTTCACGTAAACACCTCCATTTTGATTACGACATTCTTTTTAAAACTTTCAGACTGCAAATGTCATAATTGTAATAGTTCAGTTTTACCCAAAGACAATTATTTTGTTAAATTTTATGCATTTATTCTCGTACTTCAGCAAATTAGGAAAAATAATAAAGAATAATTGTTAATTGTATAAAAAGGTTTTTTTATGTTATTTTCAGAGAGTCTACACCTAAAAATTTACAATTACTCAAAAATGCTATCATTAAAATAAACGAATCAAGTTCTTATTCAATTTCGTTTCAATCTTTTGACAAATAAAATTGTCTACGGTATGGATTAACAAAACTTATCTGTGGATTAACCTAAAAATTCATAGTCGGCATTCAGTTTATAGTTTTTACATTAAAAAAAAATTGTAACACACAAAATGTCTTTGTTTGTAAATACTTTCTTAAGGAACAGTTTTCAGTCTAATTTAAGATTCATAAGACCATGCCGGAGTTTCCACTTTACCCACGGTGTGATAGCAATATTGTTTTGTTGATACCCTAATAATCTATGAATTTAGGTTATATTTATGTAATTATTTTATTTTTGAAGTATAAAATTGTTCTAATGTTATCCTCCCTTTTGTTTCAGTGAATTGTCTTTACTCGCCTGCATCACTAGGCATCGATGGTTATCTTCTTACGAGGAAACGGTCTAAAGAACAATTTGCTAATTTTGCTGAGAAATTTAGGATCAAAATGAATGATTTTGCATCCGATTCGAAAAATATGATATTCACGGAAGATTTGAAAAATATGGTACATTTAGCTGAACCTACTGACTTGGAGCTTGTATTAATAATGATTAAAAAGTAAGCAAACATTTAGAAATGGGTAATAAATTAGGCTATTTGCCTGTTGTGTATTATTCTGTGATGTCACAATTGAGGTGAATGTATGGATCATGCATGCAAAAAGCTGTTTACTAAAATGAAAGTAGATAGTATGATGACAGCTATATTTTGCAGATTGTGTAGCCCCTTGTAGCAAGGGTAATCTTATTGTTTAATGATTTTTTTTATGTTCCAGATTTAACACTCAGCAGAGTGAATACAGATTTGGTTCATTTGTTTTTGGACCAGTTGTAATGAGAATGTTTCATTTCTTAGATGCACCTAAAGAAGCTTTAGAGGTAATTTATTTTAGATATTAAACAAACATGACTTAGAAGTGCTTCCTACCACAAGTATTTTGAGAATAAATAATCCCGAAAACACTTATTGTACCAGTACAGTACTTGATAAGAAATTATAATATAGGATAGGATAAATAATATAGTTTCTTATTGTGAAACGTTTCCCACTCCAGTATAAGTCAGTCCCCTGTGCTGTCCTATTTTTGGAATAAACTAAGATTTTATTTTATGGTTGGTTAAAACCTAGAAGAGGTAGGGATCATTATATCTTATTTGAGCTCTCCCGGACCCAGGAAACCAGTAGGGGTCATATGTACTGTTGCCAAGCTGTACAGGGACCTGCTAGAGGAGGCAGCCATCATTCCCTCTTGGCTGCCTCCCTAGGCCCGTAGAAAACTTTGAAACTTGCCATTAGCCACGTCAAAGATAAAGTAAAGAGATGCTGGAGGGTCACGATAGTGACCCCTGGGATTGCCCTTTAGTGTGCGTAACAAAAACTCCCACATTTCTTCCCCCCCTTGACGGGAGGTGGCTCTTCGATGAGCCCTTCCGACAGCTTATTCCAAGCTTTTGCAGAATTTAGGTGGACCCAGCGTCGCGACAAGACGGCTGTACACGGAAGTTGTCCGGTCAATGGTCCTGTACGGCGCAACGGTGTGGGCTGAGGCCCTGACCGCCCAGAATAGGGCAGAGCAGAGGCGAATAAAGTATCAAGAGCGCCCTAGGCAAACATCAGGCTATGCAGACGATCTGACTATCCTCATCAGTGGTCCTTTTTGAGAGCGTTATATGCGATAAAATGAGACTCACACTGAAGATCGTTGAACAGTGGTGTGTGACACACAACTAGACAATGAATCCCTCGAAAACAGAGACGATCATGTTTACAAACAAACATAGTCTAGGCCATCTCAAACTGCCTAAACTATATCAAATCCAACTGGCTCTTACCAAAGAGGTAAAATACCTAGGAGTAGACTAGACAGTGAACTCCTGTAGAATAGGCACCTCGAAGAGAAACTAAACAAAGCCTGCATTATTTTCTGCCAATGCAAAAGGCTACTCGGCAAAAGCTGGAGACTATCATCAAAGATTACACAATGGCTCTACAGAACAGTCATACGACCAATAATCAATCACGTACGGTGCCGTTGTCTGGTGGCAAAGAACAGAGCTAAGCACCGTCAGAAATAGATTGCAGTAATGCAAGCGACTGGCTATATGCGCACGACGCCAACTGCCGCACTATCAATTAGTGGGATCAATTAGTGGAATATAAACCACAATTAGCAGCCCCATGCGGCAGGATCCCAAAACATCATATCTTTACAAAGATATACCACATTTTGACACAAGAACATGACCGAGATCAATCTTGTATAAACGAAGTCCGAATTTACATGGACGATTCCAAGACTGGGTAAAGAACTGGAGCTTCAATTTTCTCACAAGACCTAAACATAAACATATCACTAGCGGTAGGCCAACACAGTTCCATATTCCAATGCTCATGTGTGGCAATAACTTACGCCACAATGGCCATGTCAATGTCAAATATTAAGGTCTATAACATCCATATACTGTCAGACAGCATGGCGGTCCTAAAGGCACTGGGAACACAATCAAACTCAAAATCTCTTTATTTCATAAAAAAATTATAATTGTTTGAAATCGTCTTTTATGTAGACTCTAAAGTCATAGATCAACACACACAAAAGCAAAAACAACAACTCTGTTTTGTCTAATAGTAAGCAAAATAAATGTAACAAAAATCAAACCCATACAAAATCTATGATATGCCTGTGCCGATCAATCGCCCGTTTCCAAAGGGTATGCCTTATGAGAAGAAAGGGCAAACAAACTCATGGCCACTCTTTTGCAATGCACAGATAGATATGTACAATGGCACTATTAAATATACCACAACATTGTTTTGATGTGTCCCAGTATGTCCGTTATTAAGGACTAAAAGGTAAAAAGACAATGAAGAGAAAACAAGATTAAGAAAAAACAACGAATACAAGAGAAAATGAAGTGAAACATAAAAAATAGAAAAAATAATAATAATAAAAGACATTGGCCACACTACATTTTTACTTAAGAAAGAAATAGCCTGCTCTAATTAATCCCAAGCATTCTTATCTTCCATCTAATCCACAATTGAGTAGTAGGCCCTCTGGCACAAGCCACGTTTTATTGCGGATTTAATTTTTTTAATACTTAACTCTTGAATACCCCTATCTCACATATACTATGAATTGTTTTCGAATGCCATCAAGCATTGGAGCAGTTTGCCACAACAAATGGGGTACTCGATTCAATTAAGATTCTTACCGAAGCAACCGTGCCCAGACTGTGTCGCCTACCTATTGACCCAGATGTCAATAGGTAGGCGACACAGTCGTTCCTCCCTATCCACGCTTCAAAGCTAAGCAGAACGGCTCCGACAGCGCGTTGGTTAGTACAGGCCTGAATTTCACACGCCCTGCCCGCCGAGCCCCCGGTTTCCTCATGCGTCATGAGGAATATGTTTTTTAAATCATTCCCATTGGCAAAACTAAACAATTTTCAATTAATAGTAGTTCCTAGATACCCAACTAATAACAATCGATGTACAAAGATTCGTCGTTATTTGTCCTAAGCATTTAATATGGTATATATTATACCTATTACATATGTTAATGATCAACATATGTAATAAGTTTAATTCGCTTAATTTTGAAAATCGGTCAAACATTAAAAAAAAAACAAAAAAAAATACAGACGCATATCAATTCAAAAACAAAAGAGGAGGTTATCAAACCTATATTTATATATTTATACCTCAGCCTATGCTTGTTCACTGCTGGACATAGGCCTCTCCCAATGATTATATTGATTATCAAACCTCCTCTTTTTTTTAAATTGGTTAAAAATACGAGTGTTGTTGTTTTGGCTGAATATACCTGTAGGTATATTCAGCCAAAACGAAATCTTTGAACTTTAGTGGAATTTCCACTTCTTCAAAACGTTTGAATACTGTTTTATTCGCTCCAACAGACTCATTCCTAGCCTTATACAGATGGTAGTTGTGCTAAAAGGAATGATTATAGTAAATCAGTTGTGCTTAGTTGTGCCATTAGGAACATATTCTGGGATGGCACAACTAGTTGTGCGTACATAGTTGGTCCATAAGGATAACGGGGCCGAGCCTGTGTATGCTCGTTCTGCCATAGCATTCCGGGCTCATGATTCGGCGTGGCCTCTTCACCAATCCAATCAACACCCGTGCTGCTACCCTGCCAACTCGACGATGACCGGCTAGAGCGCCCCTACGGCGCCAGAGCTAGTACGCCTCCAGCCGGGAAGACGAACGAGTCATCATGCCTCGGCGAACGGCATAAGGCCACTCATGTCGGTCTACATCTAGATGTAACAAAATCCCACGGGAGATTTCCACCACCACCCGCTTCCGACTCCGTTAGACCTCCCGACACCGTTCGACCTTCGGCTCACAACGGTGTACCGTATGGTGCCATTGACTGGGCAAACCACAACCCTGGTCTATTCCTACAACTTATGGAGTAATCTTAACTACATCTGCAGTTGTAGCAACTGCATTTTCGTGTATACGCATTAGCATGAATCTTAGTAGGTATCAGAAAAGGAAAGCAAAGAAGTAGTGTCAATTTTGTAATATACTCGTAAATCCTAGATGTCAACCTTAAACATGTCTATAGAATTAAAGAATTGCTTATATTGTGTAAGTACGAGGGAGCGTTTTTATGTTCGCGGAATGGGGGATAAGGGGTGGAAATAAAAAAAACCAAATTATTTTTCCTTTTCAATATATTCACCTGCAAGACGGATACATTTTTCAGATCTTTCAATTAATTTGTTTATACCCTCATAAAAAAATGTTTTCTCTTTGTCTTCAAAATACACCGAAACTGCCTCCTTGACTTCATCATCGTTGGTAATTTTTTTACCCCGCAGCTCTTTTTTCATTTTTGGAAACAGGTAATAATCGCTGGGGCTGGCCCCCAGCGATTATTATTATTAGCGTCTGGGCTGTAGGGTGGGTGATTCAAAATATCGAAGCCCACCTTATACAGGGCAGCCAACGCAACGCGGCTCTTGTGCTCGGGCGCGTTGTCGTGCAAAAGCAACACACCTTTTGTCAATTTTCCCCGTCTTTGCTCTTTAATGGCTTTTTTGAGTCGCTCTAATATTGAAGTGTAGTATTCTGCGGTTATAGAAACACCTTTATCTTTATAATCGATCAATAATATTCCTTATGAGTCCCAAAAGACCGTTGCCATGAGTTTCCCAGCTGACAGTGACACCTTAAACTTCTTGGGAGGTGCTGTGCCCTTTTTATGCCACTGCATGGAGTCTTGTTTCGACTCAGGTTCATAATGATGAACCCAAGCTTTGTCTCCAGTAACAATTCTACTCAATACAGCATCCTTGTCTTCATTACAAAGGTCTAAAAATGCACGTGAATACTCTACGCGCTGTTGTTTTTGCGTCGGCGTGAGTATTTTCGGCACCCATCTTGCACTGACCTATGTCATGCCAAAATGATCGTGCAGAATTCTAAAAATGGTTGTATCAGATACTCCAACCATTTCTGCGAGTTGTTTCTTCTTTAGTCGAGCATCGTCGAGTACAATTTTTTGACTTTTTGGATAAGTTCTGGCGTGATCACCTCGATGCTCCTGCCCGGCCTCGGGTCGTCTTCAAGGGATTCCCTTCCTTGTTTAAATAAACTGTGCACTTTGTACACCATGGTTTTTCCTGGACAAGAGTCGCCGTAAACCAATGATATCTCATTAATTATGGTCGCAACTGATTTTCCTTGCTTGGTAAGGAACTTTATAACGGCACGATATTCGATTTTTTCCATGTTTCACTTCCGATTATGTTGCTTGGTTGACGATAACTCAAAGACTAATTGTCTAATAACAATGAAACCTGGTATTTATACTAATTATGAGTCACTGAACACGTGACGATTCTTATGAGCCTAATCACCCCCCTCCAACCCTCTCATTCCGCGAACTTAAAAACGCACCCTCGTATGTGCATACTTACTGACACAGTCGGTGACCCGGTGATCCGAGAGGGTTTCCACATGTAAAAAAAGGGTAGATAATCAATTCAGAAGTTTTTTTATGGATTTTCGGCCTCAGTCATATATAGCCGGATTTTCAAAATTCTTTTTTGTTCAAAGAGATTTATCCCGAAATAGTCCCATTTAAATTTCAAGTAGATCGAATCGGAACTCTTAAAAAAACGTCAACAAATCAACTTTAGTGCTCTTTGTTAGTATTCTTTAAAGTTGGTTCAACTCTTTTTTTAAAAGGATGTATATTATACTTATGTATGTGATTGATGATGTACTTATGGATGTACTTATTGTTTTAGTGTTTTTATGATCCAAAGAACGAGGGCTTCTTTGATCAGCTAGTATCATACCATATTCTATTAGATCTGCTGTACAATCATGAGATGTATGATGAGATGTATAAGGTATTTGAAACAGTTCAAGAGAAACAAATCAACATGACAAAGTTCCCTAAGTATTGTGTTGTACTAATATTAGCTGCATGTTACAAACAAGTAAGTAAAAATTATTTTTGTAAGAAGAATTTTAGTGAGGTCTTATATTACTAGTATTGTTAAAACCTTCTCATAACCCTCAGATAATAATCTAAATGCTTGTTATGAGTGGTTTGATGATGGTAGTGCATTGGGTGGGGTTCGACCTCTCAACCCCTTGGTCGTAAGTCTAACACTTTAAGATGCCCCTATATTATCCTGAAGACTATATACAAATAAATAAAATTGAAGTGTCTCTTTCTAATGTCAAAATAATATTTCATTTTTTTTTCATGCTCACATAGTTATTTGCACGATACCTATGCCTAAAAACCAGTTTAAATATCATTGGTCTGTCTGTTTGTTCCGGATAATCTTCAAAACGGCTGGACCGATTTTGATAATATTTTACTACCAGGTAGCTCTCTATATAAGGAGTAACTTAGGCAATTTTTCCTTTCAGAAAAACCCTATAAAAATTTTGCTTATCCATACTGTATATGGTATATTACTTGAAAGTACATAACAATTTATGTAATTCAAGACACTGAATGAGAAATGTTAAGGTTACACTTGGCTCTTGCTAAAAAATATAGGAGACAAAAATTGTACCATATGTCTGTATATTCAAATAAAGAACTTTAAGATAATTACATTTTTTGACACAATATAAAAATAGAATTCCAATTACAGAATACACCAAAGAGTTTGGAGTATGCTTCAAAGCTATGGACACAAATGAATCAAGTCGGGACTTTACCTGTCAGGAGAGCATGCACTTATTTTGCTGGTTTGTATTAGCTTAAAATCTAGTTAGTATCTACGTCTGCTCCGGTTATATTAAACCGTGTTGAAGCAGTCAGTGATCATTGTTGTTTTGTTTGCAGCACTGGCTTTAAACCAAGGTGCTCCACAACGAGCAATGGAGTCAATATCTACGCAAAGGCAGCACTATGTTACTATTAGAAATATTAAGGTAAGAATAAAAACAATAAAATGAACAACAATAGAACAACAGTAAAAAAAATTGACACAATTCACATAAAAACTTCGTGACTGCGGGCAATCTGTATGTTTGTAGCTCAATTTTTTTTATTTCTACAATTTCTATTATTTGCAGGCAATGGCGTTAGCAGACATGGGCAGGGTCGATGATGCATTACCAGTATTACGGTCAGTGTTAGACATTGACAGACCATCTCAAACCGACAAGCACACTTTCTTTGAAGAAACAGTATGTATTGCTAATAAAATCCTGATTTAATATTGTGATACTATGATAAAAAATAGACAGTACTGCAGTGATAAAGCTGGGTATTTGCAATTTTTGTAGAGGATATGCTTGATGGATGGTTCATATTTGAGAAGAAAAATGATTTGTTTTTTAAGTACAGTTAAGTAACCTCTATGTATAGGAGAATATAATAATATCTCTCGCTTTCCTAGGCGCAAAAATTCTTTGGTCATATCTAATATACCTTGACAATAACATAATTTAGATTTAGATAGATTAAGAAGTATAATTAATTTACTTCATTTAACTAATTTACTTAAGGTTGAAAGAGTTCGACAAGCCGTGGAGAAGAGTGACAGCAGCGATATAAAGAAAGAATTTGACGACATCTATAAGGCCTTGAAAGATCGAGGGTTAATAGAAAATAAGGTATGTTTTTTTTTCAATTTTTGGGGAACACCTAAAAATCTTTATTTAACAATGTGCCCTTGTTAAAAAAAGAGTTTTGGGTGTTTTTCTCTTGGCTACTACTGGAGATGTAATCGTTATCAAGCATGGCGAACAAATAAGTTAATTCGGAGTAAGGGAAAACGACGGACGGACGATTGGAGCCTACCAGGGCGCTATTGTAAGAAAAATCGTGTCTTAGATTGTAAACAGGAGAAACTTTTCAATAATTCAAAGAGAGGCCAGAATTTAAAGACAGGAATGGCTAATCTCGTCGATCACCTGACTAATGAATAGTCATAACCTACTATCGTAATACTGAGTGTTTTTTCTGTTTTTTTTTGTGTTCATGTATATATGACTTTTATTATTGTAATTAGTGAGACCGTTATAATTAAAGTAAATAAAAATAAAAGAATTTATAAAAAAAAGAGTATCCAAAAAACTAAAAAACACGCTTTTTATAGAAAACCAAACTAAAAAATAGAAAATAAATTTTAATAAATTAAAAAAAAAGCGTGGGGTGATTTGACAACAGGCACCCAACGTTTTTTTTTTGGTTTTCTATAAAAAGCGTGTTTTTTAGTTTTTTAAAACTTATTATTTTAATATTTTTTTTTAATTAGTGTAATGTCATCGGTCTTCGATATATCTACAAAGTTTGAACGAATTCTGACCGTTTAAAGTCAGTCAAAATCACGCCCAAAGGAGTCGGTTACAAACAAACATACAAGTGAACCTAATATAAAGCGTGTAAAAAAATTGCAAAAAGTCGCAATAAACTGAATACCTTTGTGTTTATCATTTAAAATTGGTATAGTATATGATATATTAGAACTGAAAGTTACTAAAATATTTTGTTGCAGACCCTCGAACAGTTGCTAAACGCTGAGATTTTAATGACCAAAAAAACAGATTCAACAAGAGCGAAATCCCCATTCCAAATGAAAAAAATGCCATTCGTACCACGTCACAAGTATCCTAAAAGAATCGTGTAAGTTGGACTGCCAAAATTTAGTGTAAAAGTGGCTGATGGAATGCAGCTGAAGAGAGTAGACATTATTTCTACTTGCATAAGTGGTGCGGCTCCTACGACTCGTAATTGTTTTTTGTTTTACCCCACTGGTTGTTTGCAATACCCTCCTCCAGTATGCTGAAACACACAACTGAAGGATTATACTCTTCTATACAATTTTCATTACAGCTGACTAATACAGTGATATACTTGCAATAAATACGTTTAGTTTTTTTTGAGTGTCCTAGCGGCATTACAGTTAAGTTATAATAGTCATGTCACCTGTGTGTGACACTTTTATTTATAATGGGAATAATATATGTAAATTTCTGTGTTTGTAGAATTTGATTTTTATTTTGTTACCTTAATAGAAATTTAAAGCAAATATTCATTCATAACGGTTCAAAAAGGTTAATCCTAATCATCATAAATTATAAAGGTTTTTTAATTTCACAAGGAATAGTGATAAATGTTTTACAATTATTTGGATACATGTGTATCGTAGCGTTCGTATCCAAATAGTTGTAAAGTAAGTTGAAATAAACATTTTATCAATCTTACTGGTACTAAACTGGTAAAATATTTATTTTAACTCACTTGTAACACTTTTTGTTTATGTTTACTTATATTATTTCAATATAAACAATAACCTTAAATAAAAATAATTTTACGTTCATAATATATATTGTATTACTAAAATACTCGATTTTTCAGTAACCAAATGTATTTGTTTGTAAGCTTATTTTCATCAAACGTTAAAACGGTGCGTTATGTTGAAACTTGTATGATACAACTTGTGACAATATGTCATACCTTGCGATAGTCAAATCACTTTTTTAAATTTTACAAATAAAAGTACTAATTAAAAAACTAACCAAAAAATTAGTTATTAAAACCATAGACTACATAATACTACTAATGTATAGACAATATAAACATTGGTACGAAAACAGTTGCACACGTTGTGGTTAGCATAAAGCTTGTGTGGTACAGTCCCGTTCCAGTTCGCTTGTTTTAACTATTCCAATGGGAGGCAATAGTTTGCCTCATTTTAAATTTATCTTTTGGAATATGGATATTTATCCATAATTACATAATACATAATTGATCCAGCTTAACCACTGCTGAATAACAACTTTCAGAATAGAAATTTATTGTGTTACACATAGGTACATACATACGCAACATCACGCCTATATAATCGAGCGCCTATATAAAGTCAGAAGGGCATGAGACAGGTTAAGGTCGCATACCTGTAATCGAATTTGACTACGGCTTTCTAACTTTTGGTTAGAAAGCCGTAGTCGAAAGTTCGACTTTCTAACCTCTAAGATTGTTGTGTTGTATGTTGTAGAATATTACCAGCGACTTAATTATTTCTACTCTTTTCAGTTCTATTTTATATAAGTCGTTATAAACATTTAGAAAAAGAAATAAAGCAATGAAAACCAGTAATGTTCATACAATTGAGCGGTACAATATGAAGTACATTGTGAAATGAAATCAATTTGTATTTTTTGTATTATCTCCGTTCCTCCTCCCACCGTCGGGTAGAATGCAGTTTTAATAGAACTTGCATTCCATAACTTTGTATAAAAATGTTTAATCGAATTGGTTTATCAACAAAGTATGCAAACTCAAGGGTATAGAAAAGGACAAAGGATACCTACCCTCCATCCAAAAAAGTACGAGTTCCCGAGGGAAAGGAAAAAAATTACATCTGTTTGAAGGTGTATGATACCACTAAAGGCTTTTTCAAATAAATTATTATATTTTATTACATATTTTATCGCTAGCAAAATATGGTTTTCTATACTCATATGATGTTAGACATTAATAGGTAGTTATTTGTGAATGCTTGAATGAATTACAGCGGAGTGTGCATTTTTTGGTTGTCAAATACTTTGAACGACTATTTCCACATAAACTTTTAGTGTATGTAGAACTAAATATTTGTTTGTTGAGTTCATGTTGTTAAATCAAAATAATAAAATATAGTTGACAAAACATGTTTTATTTTTATTTTTAATCAGTAAAATTATTGTTTTGTATTTTACCTTAGAGAAATATGAACATTTCATTTTGTTCTGTTATTGTACTCTTATAATAACAGAACAAAATCGTGCATTGCATCGAAATTGCAGCGTTTGAAGTGGAGTAGGTCTAGTACCTGTTCCATTAGAAAGTTACGGGTTACCGTCAGGTGTCCGAGGTCCAGACACTCGACGTGACATTTTCCGTAAAATATTGTGTGGATACTTCACCGTGTTGTACTACTTATGCTATATTTTGTCGTGAGGTAACCGCCACAAAATTATTCGAATCGTAATCGATTTCGCGATCTGAATAGAATTCATTTGAATCTACATTTCAAAAATCGTAATATATCCGAACTGTTTTACGAAGTGGTTAGAAAACTGTTTTTATTTTTTTACTTCTTCAACTTCATTCAAATTCAAATCGGTCGAGAGGTAGTGGCAGAAAAATGAAATATCTGTTATGGTCATCTCGCAGATTTTGTTTTGTCTAGCCTTGTTGTTTATCTCATGAGAAGGGCTGATGAATAAACATTCTGAGTGGATATTAATAATGACGCCGACGTTTCGTCGCCTTCACTAGCCGACAATGTAGTGTTTCTATAGTTTTTGGGCTTAGCCACGCTGATAGAAATTGACTGCCTCAATGGTGCAGTGGTAGCGAATGCGACTGCTGTGTGTCGTGTGTCGGGTACACGTTATTCAAACAACAAGGATCGAGTAGCACTGTCTTTAGATTATAATTTTACATGTACTGACTCCCTTGGAAACAAACAAAAAAAAAAACATTTACAGAAAAATTTAAATTATCAGAAATACCAGAACATTATTAACATACTTACTCATTATAAAAAATAATAAAAGCATGCATTACAAAAATTACATAAAATTCCAATATAAATTATCATAATGTACAAAATTATATTAAATTTATACCATTATTTTTATAATATAATTATTTTTATATTTTTATAATAAGGGTTATAAATTGAAAAACAAAGTAATTTAAAATATCATTTTGAATTGATCATTAATATAATAAAATAAACATTAAGTACATTAATTACACTCAAAATCATAATCGACCAATCTTAATATACCCAATGTTAATAATTCACATTTAATTAATCAAACCAAACTAGAAATAATTGATAGGTTCTTATTTATAGGTATAATTCAGAAAAGGTTTTATTTATTTAATTTATTCATTTTAATTAAACCATTATCCTTCTTGGTATATATAATTATAGTATTCATAAGCAGTTATTTAACTAAATTCAATAATATTATGTACCAGTTACATGTTCTCCCTCCATCTAATGTTGGTATTCGACAACGGTTGGCTTAGTATCCTCATCCGTAGGTCTCACTGTCCTGCCAAAACGAGTAACATAATATCTATCACTATCAGCATTAATGCCATTACTACAAGGTACAGAAGTGTCGACGCCGGGAGCCAAATCCAATGATGTGTGCGTCTGAGTAGGACAGACGTCATCGTGGTCTACGTATGAGTCTAATCCCACCCTCACGCCCACCACTGTAACTCCTGTACAGCAGTGACCCACGAACACACCGAGTTATGACACTCGGGAAGTCCCAGGAAGAAATTAAACTTTCTTGGAACCCGCAACGAAATGAATCAGAAGAAAATTGGAGGAGTTGGAAATACAGTAAATCCACTTCCCTCCTTAGCAAAGCGGGAGACAAAATGAAGTAAAATAGGCATACACCCTTTTAAACGGGGAAGCACCACGGCCACAAAATATTACGGGTCCTAGGTGAGCTATATTTGATTTCTATAATATGTATGGCAGAATCGCCTAAACGCACGGAAATTCACCCTAGTTGACACAAGATCCCTTTAGTATACCGCCCCAGATGTCACCTGCAAGCTATTCAGCATTATATTACGTTCATTATACCAAAGACTACATTCCATGAGGATATGATGAGCAGATTGTTCATAGTGAGAGTTAGGTGTTGAGCATTGACACAATGGTGACTCGACTAATTTAAATGAATACAACTTGCTCTTAAAGTTACCATGACCCGTAAGAAATTGAGGGACACAGTGATCCACCTCCAGCCATGTCCTCGACAACTGTTCGCGAACAGATGGAAAGAATTGGTAAAGATGGCGCCCCTTGGATGATTCGTCCCAGCGTTGCTGCCATTCGTCTATGAGGTCATTATAGACATCGGACTGCTGTTGAAGCAATCTTGTAATTTTACCGCGATCCCGCGCGCCCAAAAAATCGCATTCCATGTTTTGTCTTGAATAGTACATAGCTGCACGTCTCTGCACCTCGAGATCGACCGGAAGCACACCCGCCAATACCGGCAAAGCCTCAGTGCTAACCGTCCTATATGCCTTGCACCAGAATATCAGTGCAAGTCGTTGGCCTTGTAACAGTTTGCGACGGACAGCGCCTACGGTCGCCCTATCGGCCCATACAGGTGCACCATAGCACATAGAACCTAAATAAGTAGCTCCGTATATGATCTTTAATGTATTAAATGATAGACCCCATGTCGCAGTTGATATCCTTGTCAATGCACAGAAACTCTTTTTAGACTTTTCATTAACTATTTTAATATGTTCGATAAATGAAAAGTTTCTTTCTAAAACTAATCCTAGATAACACACTGAGGTTTTATTTTTTACAGTAACATTGTCAAATCTAATGCTCGGCGGTGATTTGAGGTTACCTTTTAAAAGTAGCTGGAAGGTTTTGTTGGGTGCAAAAGTTAAGCGATTACGTTCACCCCATTGAGATATCAAGTTCAAACATCTATTGGCTAATCTCTCCAGCCCGGCCCTAGTATCAAATTCCACCAGTAATAAGCCGTCATCAGCATACGCGTTCAGAGTACATCCGGATGGTATTGGTATCGCAAGAAAATCGTCGAAGCCGATATTCCTCAAGTATGGACCTAGCACCGA